GTGCCAGGGCAGCAGTCCCCGGGGCCTCGGAGCAGCGGGTGGCTGGGGGTAGCTAGCCCCCGCAGCCAATGCAGGAGCTAGCCATCAGCCCCTGAGGCCCCCCAAAGCAATGGCACCCTGGGGCCCCAGAAGCTGCTATGTTTTAGTCAGAGGTATTTATATTGTAAAAGTCATGGACAGGTTACGGACTGTCAGTTTTCATTTATGTCCTGTGACCTGTCCATGACTTTTACTAAAAATACCCTGTGACTAAATCTTAGCCTTACTAATGGAACTGAAATCCCTCAACACTAGTTGGCATTACAATGAAGTCTAGCACAAAAAAGGCAATATTAGCATTCATGAAAGGTGTTGAACTGACAGCCCAGGTGACTGATGTCCTCTATACACCCACAGAAGAAATACAGTAACAGTTCTCCCCAAGCCATCCTGCCAATGTGCCTCAGTCCTGTACTAGAGAGAGAGAAAGGATTAGTTCATGTTCATACAGTAGTCAGAAGTACTACAGGACAGTTTAATCTTCACCCCCCATTCAACCCTTGACCTCCCACCTGCAAATGCCAACAAGATTGCCAACTATGTCAATTCTAATAGATTTGATGATGTGTATTAATGTTCACTGGGAATTGGAATCACCACCACCATGTCATGTAAGTCCCCAAAGAGGAAGTAAAGTTGACCATCACTGTATTGGAAACAGCAATGAGAGTTATAAATAAATGTGAAATATACTTGTATTAAATGCACAAAAAGGTCACTAGTCAGCTACTCCAGTTAACATGTCCAGCCAAAAATACTCACCTACAGCCACCCGGTAAGGGGAAGGGAGAAGAACTCCCCCCATGTCAAAGATTACAGCTTTATAGAGACTTGAACCAGAATGCCTCCGCTGTACCAAACTTGGAGGTTTGTATCGTACATGCTTTAGGATTCCTGATGTTCTGGCACATTGGAAATAAGAGGCTTGGATAAATCTCCTAAGGCCCATTCTGCAAAACTCTGTATGGAGAAGGGAATGTTTTAGAGATATATATTTAGGATTCTCTGGCTTTTTCTTTAGATTATAAGTATTTGCACTGAGCTCTTTATATAACACCACTTATACCTTGGACTACGTTCAAGTGTAGTATCAATTTTATTAGTAGCATAGTTTTATTACACACTGTTCTAAGGTGCCCATCAGGACACTATCTGAGCATGTCTAACATACAGGCTCTGGATAGGTGATCATGTTGCCCTGCAGCTGCTGGTCCATAGGAAAGATAAGGGAGACAGTGTGAAGGAATCTCACCCAAGCAGGTGGCTCTGTGTCAACGTGATACAGCCACTTCGCATGGCAGTAGGTACAATTACACAATTTCCCCTATGCTGCGCCATCCCAGATCTCACAAATCCTTGTTCATGCTGCTCAATTCTACCCTCACCACACCTTAGCTGGGGGGGGAAATTTACCTTGTGCACCTTCCTTAAGCAAGGCCCCACTCTATTCTAGGGTTACCATATTTTAATACTCCAAAAAGAGGACACTCCATGGGGCCCCGGCCCCGCTCCAACTGCACCCTTTTCCCACCCCCAGCCCCACCCCAACTCTGCCCTTTCCCTGCCCTGGCCCCAACTCCGCCCCTTCCCCAAAGTTCCCTGCCCCAACTCCGCCCCCTCCCCTGAACGCTCCGCCCCCTGTCCCTCCCCCTCCCCTGCTTCCCACGAATCAAATGTTCGCGGGAAGCCTGAAACATGCAGGCAGGCAGCAGGTAAGCTGGGGCGGTGGGGACACGAGGAGGCGCGGCCCAGTCCAGCCCCCCCGGCCGAGTGGCTCCCTCCGGCGGCTGGCCCCTGCATCTCCGGCCCGGCCCAGCTCGGGCCCTGGGGCGCCGGCCCCGATTCCGGCCGAGCACACCGGCCCTGACCGAGCGGCTCTGGCCTGCCCTGGCCCTGGCGACTCCAGCTCAGCTCGGACCCCGGGGCACCAGCCCGGGCCGAGCAGTGCCGGCCAGCGGCCAAGCACCCCCAGCGCCGGTCCCAGCGGCTCCGGCCCGGTCCCCGGTCGAGCGGCTCCAGCCCGGCCCCGGCGCCGGCCAGCGGCCGAGCACGGCCAGCCCCAGCGGCTCCGGCTCCGACCCCAGCAGCTCCAGCCCGGGCCCAAGCCCCACGACCCCTCCCTATTTTCCCAGACTTGTCCAGTTTTTTGGAATTTCCTCCCGGACGGGGATTTGAGGACCAAAAAGCCGGACATGTCCGG